CTCCGTCGTCTCCTCGGCCGACAGCCGGCCCTCTGGCACCTCGGCCTGCAGTGCCGCGCCGCACACAGCAGCAAGCCACTGCCCCTGCGCATGCGGCGAGGGCAGGGGCAGGGGCAGGGGCTACTGCTGTGCAAGCCGCGGCACTGTAGGCCGAGGTGGAAGTGGGCCGGCTGTCGGCCGAGGAGACGACGGCGCGCAGGGTGACACAGGGCATCCCCTTGTAGTGGGGGCCACGCTTTGACCGATGCCGAGCCCCGCCATGCCCTGAGCCACGCACACTCTGGTGGGTGCAGGCGGGCGGGCCGGGGAGCAGGCTGCTGAGCTGGGAAAAGGCCTGCGCCTGTGCCAGGTTGCATGCATACCTGAATGCCCGCCTGGCCCAGCATGCCTGCCTGCATTGCCTGCTTGCACTCTGCCTGCCTGCATCCTATCTGCAAACATTGTATTGCCTGCCAATATTGCCTGCACTGCGCTGCTTGCGTTGCATTCATCACGTGCTGAATGCATTGCCTGCTGCATGCACAGTTTGGATTGCCTGTGCCGGCTGGCTTACGTCCATGCACGCTGGGCTGCTGCTTTCCTTGATATCTGTTGAGTGGGCAACTCCACTAGTGTTAATGCATGCCCTACCCACATCCCGCCTCACTGCAGATCACGATTCCCAGTATCTGACGCAGAGCCGTTCCCCGACCCGTACACCGGGCGGTGGCACCTCTGGGCGATCGCTCCCACAGCTGCTGTCTTCGTTGAGAAGGCGCGGCAGAGGGGAGCGGTCGCCCAGAGGTGCCGCCGCCCGGCGTACAGGTCGGCGAACCGGCTGTACATCCGTACTGGACATCGTGATCTGCGGCGAGGCGGGATGGGGCTACGAGAAGACGCTCACCGCCCGAAAGCTGATTGTGATGGCAGAAGGGCCTGCTGCTGCCTGGCGCGTCCCGCCCAAAGAGCTGATTGTGATGCACCTTGAAGAGGGCGGCGTCAGCACCGCGCTGCCCATCCCCGCCTGGCGCCGCCATCGGCCGCCATCGGCTCTACAACCGGGATGCCTATAACGACGCCCCCGGGTTTGTGCAGCGCCAGGCCGCCGCGCTGCAGCGCTGCTCTGCGGTGCTGCAGGACGGCGCCCAGCTGCAGGCGCAGGCGGTGACGGTGGACGACACCCCCGCCAAGCCGCAATCCTCGCTGCACCAGATCACCCGCGAGCAGGCGACGCTGCTGGTGCGCCAGGGGCTGCAGGATCTGCACAGGTGGCGCGGGGTGCTGAGGCGCCTTGGCAGCCGTCGGGACGGTGGTGCAGCCACACCCGCCGTCGCAACTTGCCGCTGTGTGCAGCTGAGCCGGCACAGCGCTGCCAGCGCAGTGCCCTCCCACCCTCGGCACGATCTGGACCCCTTTGCCCCACACACACGCAGGTTCAGCCAGGGCTGGCACATCCCGCCGCCCGATGTCGCGGTCCTTGCCTACGAGTCCAGCACGCGGCTGGAGGCGGCGCAGGCGCTGCCGCGCCCTCCCCTGGGTGGCCACAGGCGGTCTACCTGCAAGGCCGCATCTTTGTCGTGGAGGCAAGTGGGGTCGGCATGCATCAGCAGCCATATCAGTAGGTAGCTAGCAATGAGGGTGCAGCAAGACCAGCAAGCTAGTAAACATGTCTTATCGCTGCCCCTCCCCCTTCTCTGCCACCCCCCCCACAGGATGCCAGGCGGGTTGCCGTGGTTAAGCTGACAGGCTGGGGCCAGTCAGGCGATGCCAAGCCACCGCCCCCCAACTGCACACAATTAAAGGGGCGGGCCCCCGTTCAGTCACCACCGCCGCCCTCCTCCTGCTCCTGCCAGCGGCAGAGGTGGTCAGTCTGCCAGCCAGTCGGAGCCCGCACGTGGCGGCGCCGCAGGCCGTGGTGCTCGTGCAGGCGACAGCACCTGCTCCAGCGAGGCGCGTGTGCCGTGGTCCGAGTAGCGGCTCGACACCAGGCACACGCCGCCCTCCTGCCTGTAGGCCTCCTCCCCGCCCCAGGGGAAGCATGGCGTGCTATCGCCGGGCCTGGGGCATGGAGGATGCATACAGGCAGGCAGGAGGGGTGTGCCTGG